CTTGCGACCTTGCAACTGACGAAGGAGTAGTGGGCTGTGTGGAGTCTGCATCCGACTGTTGGAATGTCGTAGTTGTTGGGGTTTGAGGTTCCGAAAATTCTCGCGTGGAAGAACAAGATGGCTGGGTCTCTTCGTTTTCATCGCCTTCGATGACTATGTGCGTGTCTTTAGTGGGAAGCTCAACTGATGATTGCATAATACGGCCCTTGCGACGTCTCCGCGGGATTCTGGCCGGGAAGGGCTGCTCCGGAACAGAGAGCCAAGGAATCTAGACTACCTGTTAGAAAAGTATTATAATTCGAGATGAGAGTAAACACTTACTGGTGGGGCAAAAGTGGGCTTCGGCGGCAAGTTTGACTGTGGCTCCCATCGTGGTGGCGGAGAAGCGATAGGATACCCCTGGGCCGAGTGGGGTAGAACAGCAGGGTATTCCTGCATTTCGGGCTGAATGGGCTGAATCGATGGATGCAGGACAGATGGAGACATTATCGGTTGCAGTGGAGTCGGAGTTCTTTGATGCATGGGCATCGAATGAGGAATATGCGTAGGCGCCATGACAGGCTGCGAGTGAGGATATGAGGATACAATCATCGGTCCATAGGGCGCCTGGTATGGACGTGGAGGGCCCTGGATATGTCCATATGGTGGATACCAGTAAGGGTATTGCTGCGATGGGTATGGTTGATGAGGCATATGGCCATTCATGTGAGGAGGGTATCCCATGTACTGTGGTGATCTCATATGGGGAGGCACGGTGTTGTAAGAAAAGTCTTGCTGGCGCCTTGAAGGAGGCATGGCCAGCTGCCCATGCGGCATGGCAGGGAGGTGGTGGTTCATCTTGAGCTAGCTAGAGAAAAAAGTTGTCTTGACGTTCGGTCACGCGTTGCCTCAGATGAGTGCCATGCGCGATAGCAGTCAAGAGGAAGAAAAAATCTGGAGCTGCTGTCGCATTTAGGCAGCCATCGTGGCCTCGGTAAGAGGTGTTGGATATGTTGGATAGTTGGAGTGAAGGATGAACTGCGTCGAAAGAGCTGTTGGTGTTGCTGGGATTGGTGGAAGGAGACTGGCAAACCAGATCGGAGTCAGGAAACAAGAGAAAGAGATCGCTGTACAAGTAACTCCCTAGGCGGAGAGAGTCAACAAGTGGGTATGAGAAGCGAGTGAGCAGAAGGAGAGAAAAAAGGAAATAAGAGACAAGGGTTAGGAGGCCTCGATTCACCGTCAAACGAAATGAAGCTGAAGGAGACCGAGACCGAATTGGGTGTCGGGACTACGGCAGCCTCTAACCCCCAGTGCGCCATATCAGATTCTGCCAGCAGTATGCTTCGTAATATAAGTATTTTATACGTTTCAAATATCAATATCACAAAGGCCTCTATATAAGTTAGGAATTGAAGTCTAATTCTTAATGTTTGAATTTTCCTCTACTCTCTATATTTTATCCGTGTATCTAGGTGCTAGGCTTATCATGAATGTCTAAAGTAGAAATTTTGTGAAAATCAAGAACTAACTGCTCCGTACATGTAACTACGTGTAATTTGAAAGAACTAACTACCCCATACGGAGTTCGTAATCAGTAAGTAATGAGATCTGGCGGTGAACTAGGCGGTCAGAATTTAATATAGCAAAATCGCCGGGACTTGTTGGTTCACGTGACATTACGATTTGTAACCGGAGAGGGGCGAAATCGTACCTTCACGACATCAACTGGCACCCTGAGGGCCGTCCCTCGATCCTCACTACTATTCTTACATGGCCTCTAGGGCCCTTCATTCTCCTTCACCTTTTCTGGTCCAATCTGAGGCATCTGGTTGATCACTCGATCTACTACCCGCTAGCTGATTGACATCTTATCAGTTATTGGCTTTATTCAGAGTCTCCCATATAACCCCTCATCTTCTATTCAGCCAACTGGCTCGCTTGGTCTTTCTGCCTTGTTTAGTTTATTGTGCTCTCACTGTTGCAGGATAAATACCGCATACCGCAGAGATATGTCATCCAATGCAGGACAGAACCTGCCCTCTTCTAAAGCGGTAAACATTCCGAATACAGCCTCGTCTACTCCATTTCACTCAACAGCTCCAGCGGACAACAGCTCTCAAAAGCGCGTAGGAGGCCCTGGAAGTTCTCGACCAGGGATGTCATCGAAAGCTTCAGCTACCCCAAGGAATAATCAAGCTCGGAAGAGTCAACATAACCGTCAAAGAAAACCTCGGCTATTGGATGATGACGAGTATAACGAATCGGTGGGTTCACAGGTCTATCTCCTCAAGAGCTGCCTGCTGACCCCGGAGCCCCTATCTAGGCCGCCATGAAATCCACCACCAGCCGGAAGGGACAGACGTCCATCACTCACTTGATGAACTTTTCACTTCCACCTCGCCCACAATACCAATCACCTCCTCGCAACATCCGACGGTATACATCATGGGGAGCGGGCGCAATAGACAAATCGCGTTATGTTCATGCGAATTACCGCTTTATTGTGATGCCAAATCAAAATTTCCATGCTCAGGCAGCCAATGCCGATGTCCATCTCGATTGGACCTCAGTCCTCCAAGTGCTGGTATCTGCTCAAACACAGGCTGCCAGTTGTCCAATCTGTCTTTCTACTCCAGTTGCACCGCGTATGGCACGGTGTGGTCACATCTTCTGCCTCCCATGCCTTATCCGTTACATGCACTCATCCGACGACGATAACACGGTCCCTGAAAAACGGCACCGTTGGAAGAAATGTCCTATCTGTTGGGACTCTGTGTATATCTCCGAGACTCGACCTGTCAGGTGGTTCCGTGGCCAAGAAGGCGATCTTCCCGTCGAAGGCGGTGACGTTGTATTGAGACTCGTAAAGCGTGAGTCGGGCAGCACCCTCGCTCTGCCTCGTGATGGGTCCGAGACACTTGGTCCAGGTGATGATGTTCCATGGTATCACGTGGCGGAAGTTGCCGACTATGCTCGAATCATGAAAGGCGGCGAAGACTATATGACCGCTCAATATGATGCTGAGATCGAAGATCTCCGCAGACAGGAAGTCGAAGACGAGCTTCTCTTTGGTGATGAGAATACTTGGACACGAAAAGCAATTGGTTCTATCATGGATGCCAAAGAGAAACTGAAAGGCATTGGCAATCCGCCTGAGGTTCGGCCAGCCAAGGAACGCACTGTTGCACCTACGCCAGCTAGTCGCTCTTCTGCACACTCTATTGTGGCGCCAGCAACATCAGATGAATCGGACCATCTGTCTCAAACCCTAGACGACGTCCATCTTGATCCTGAATCCAGTGCCAAAGCTAAAGAGAAAGGCCGCAGCAAGCAAACGTCAGTGTCTTCCGGGCCAGATCAACCATATCATTTTTATCAGGCATTGCCTCAGTTCTATCTGTCGTCCTTGGATATTCGTATCCTCAAGGCTGCATTCGGGGAATATTCTATGTTCCCTGCAACCATCCTACCGCGAGTGGAGCACATATCAACAGGCCACATTGTGGATGATGAGCTTCGCAAGCGAGTGAAGTACCTCGGGCATCTTCCACAGGGGTGTGAAGTCAGCTTCCTGGAGTGCGATTGGAGAGACGTGGTTGTTCCCGAGGTTTTGGGGCGTTTCCGCGCAGAGACTGATAGACGTCGAAAGCGTAACCGGGAAAAAGAAGCCCGGGAAGAAAAGGATCGTATTCGCGCGGAGAAAGAGGAGGACGACAAACGGTGGGCTGCCGCTCGGCGCAAGCGGCCAAGCATTGGAAGTGCCAGCCTCAATGAAGCCCCATTCTCTGCTCATGACTTCCAACCACTTCCTCGCAACGTGGATCCTACATTATTTGATGCTACGGCCTCCTCGGCCTCTCCTCCGCGCTCATCGTCTGGATTCGGGGCATTGGCTTCTCCTTCCACCAGTCCCCCAGGTATCCGCACTGTTTGGGGCACAACGGCAGTGGGTTCACTGTCGCCAAGCCTTGAGGCTCAACGAGCTGTACACAGTGACGGGTGGCGGCAGGGCTGGGAGGACGAGCTCTTCGCCCAGCAGGAATCTGATCTGCTCGCCCAGACGGCATCTGGAGACCAAAGTCTAAATCCCGGACCATCGTCCAGTGGGGGTAAGAAAAAGAAGAAAAACAAAACTAAGATCACTTTGATGGCCACTAGTAGCCAGAGAGGGGCATAAATCTTGATGAAGCCTTGCGTTTTGCACTTTTCTCAATTGCTATTGAGCTCGTACTGCATTATCATAGTTATGTATATGATCCATTTCCCCGAATCTTCGGGTTGTCTTAATATGTGGTTCTCGGCTGTGTCCGTATGCTATGCTACTAAAATAAACACACAATTATATTTACATTTCAGTAATTTACCTGAGAATTATACAAGGAACGTTATATCTGTGATGTCTTCTCCGAAGCAGAGGGAAAATAATTGTTGGAAGGTTGAAGAAGTTAGAAGAAATAAAACGAATTATTCAGGCAATATTAAAATAACTAGTCAACTCCGTACAACATAGCTCAAATACAATAAGGGGTAAATTGCATAGATCTAGGGCTTCAAAATAGGCAGTTGACAACGAGCTCCCCCACTCAACCACCAATTCTCCCTAAATGCCTTTTGTGGGGGGAAATACTGCAGTACCCTACATAGCACTAGCGACTGGAAAAAAGGGTATTCTGCCCCTTTTAGTATCTATGGAGGGAAATCTACAACCTGACTGCTATCTGATTTTGAACGTATATACTCCGTAGATGTACCATATATACTACTAATACCGTTCACGCTCTACTACTACGCCTATCACAGGACCCCCTTATAGACTTATATACCAGATCAATACTTGGTTATCTTGCAGATTTTAAAATTGTTTCTTATGTAATCATTCAGAACCGGGGCCCGCAAAGTAAACAGTCAGGGCATTCCAGTTTTTTTCACCCTCGCTCCTTTTTACCCTCAGCCATTCCCTCCTTGCCCTCAATTGCAGTCAATTGCAGTCGGAACCTTGGTCTTCCGATTAAGCGACCATGACTTTAACCCGCTCGCAAACGGGGAAGACCCCTAAGTGAGTAGTTCCCACCGGAATCTAGTTGCGACGTATCCACACCCTGAATCAGGGTATATCTTGCCAATACCCGGAACAACTGGCCTGTCCATAGTAGGCTTTTTGTCAAGCTAATTTGGAACCCTTTCTTCCTCCAGAAAAATGGATCGTCCCGGCTTCGTTGAGACCCCCGGCGGCCGTCGTGCCACCCGCAACAGTTCTGTCTTGGGAAGTAGCGAGAATGAGGCCTCCCTCTCCCCTTCCCCCTCTCTCGAGAGATCCAAATCCGCCTCCCGCCGTCGTGCTGCAGTCAAAATCAAGACCGAGGAGGATGATACGCCGGTGAAGGTCACGACCAATGGCAAGACTACCGACACCAAACCCGAGTCCCCATCTCGCGTGATAGACGGTTGGGAGGAAGGCCTCGATCCCAAGGTCGATTATAGCGGACACTTCGAATTCGGTGGCTCCTTGGGTGTGCTGTCCATGATGATCGGATTCCCCATGCTCATGTACTACATGTGGATTGGTGCCACCTTCTACAACGGCAAATTCCCTCGCCCCGCGGAGAACGAGAGTTATGGCGACTTTTTCGCACACTTGGTCGATCTAATCTACACCGGTGCTTTCCCATCGGTAAAGGCATGGACTATCTACTGGGTTTTCTTCATCTTCGAGGGTGCGTGTTACGTGCTGCTTCCCGGTGTAAGTGTCTCCGGTCGACCCCTGCCACACATGGGTGGCAAGCAGCTGCCATATTACTGCTCTGGTGTGTGGTCTTTCTACACCAGCATTGCATTGGCACTCATTGCGCACGTGACTGGGGTTTTCAAGCTGTATACCATCATTGATGAGTTCGGTCCCTTGCTCACCGTTGCCATCCTCTCTGGATATATTGTCTCATTCATTGCCTACTTCTCGGCTTTGGCGCGTGGCGCAGAGCACCGTATGACTGGCTACCCGATCTATGACTTCTTCATGGGTGCGGAGCTTAACCCCCGCATGTTCAAGATCCTCGACTTCAAGATGTTCTTCGAGGTCCGCCTCCCGTGGTACATCCTTCTCGGCCTGTCTATGGGTGCCGCGGCCCGCCAATGGGAGATGTATGGTTATGTGTCTGGCGAGGTTATGTTCCTTGTCATGGCCCACTACCTTTACGCCAATGCCTGCTCCAAGGGTGAGGAGTGCATTGTTTCCACCTGGTAAGAGTATCTCCTGCCCCAGAATCAAGATTATTTCGTAACATTTCACAGGGATATGTACTACGAGAAGTGGGGCTTCATGCTGATCTTCTGGAACTTGGCCGGTGTGCCTCTGAGCTACTGCCACTGCACCATTTACCTCGCCAATCACGACCCTGCTGAATACCGCTGGAACCGCTACTTCCTTGCCTTCCTCTTTGTCGCGTATCTGTTTGTCTACTGGGTGTGGGATACCACCAACAGCCAGAAGAACCGTTTCCGCCAGCAGGAGCGTGGTACTATAGTCACCCGCAACACCTTCCCTCAGCTTCCTTGGCAGACAGTGGAGAACCCCAAGACTCTTACTGCGGCTGATGGCTCCAAGATTCTTATAGATGGGTGGTGTAAGTTCAAGACAAATAACAAAAATCTACAAGCTCCAATACTAACAACCGTATAGATGGAAAGGCCCGCAAGATCCACTACACGTGCGATCTTTACTTCGCCCTGAACTGGGGCTTGATTACCGGATTCTCAAGCCCATTCCCTTGGTTCTACCCTGTTTTCTTCGCTTGCATGATCAGCCACCGTGCTCTTCGTGATATCGAGCGGTGTCGTACCAAGTACGGCGAGACTTGGCTTGAATACGAACGTCAGGTGCCTTACCTGTTCATTCCTGTGAGTAACTTGACCTTGAGGACTCTCTCAGCACCTATGTCTAACCTTGTGTACTCTAGTATCTCTTCTAATCGCAGCCCGCTGCTTTCCCTTGGAGTCATTGAGGCCTCGGTAGTTGGGACCCCAGGGGATTCTTCTTTTACTTCTTTAGGTCCGATTAGACCATCATTCTGCCAAACAACCTTGGTGTAACATGTATAAACAAAACGTCAAATAGATTATTAATATGTACCGATCATGAAGCAAGATGTTCCGGCCATCCTATGATGGCCTCTTGAGTTATTTTGAACCCACCCTATGACTTTTTTATGACTTTTTGTACGACAAGTCATCGGATTCCGAAGTTGATCCAGATGTGAAGACGGTAGATTCTATTCAATTTAATGTACGGAGTACAATTGGTGCATTCAAGCAAAACCAAAGACCAAAGACGTCTACTTCGTTGAGATGTTGGCCAGTATCAGCACATGACTGCCCCGCGTGTTATCGATAATGATTTCACCGTCAATCGTCTGTATTTCTACGGTCGTTTCAATTGGTTTCTCAATTCTATTCCAATATATTTCTATCTTTGAAAGAAACTAAAGCAACATGCTGATCCAAGAATCCTATCATGACGTCCCCACCAAAGCGGATGGACAGGGGACAATGCGTATGTACACTATGGTCGCTCTCGTACAGCACATTTCTCCCCGCTATAAAGCCATTGCTCCTTCATAATGTCAATTCTAACAATTTCCAAGGCATCTATGTCTTCCATCCAACAATCCCAAGCTACCCCAAAGCCCGCTTCCCCGGAGTCGTAGTCTTCAGCGAGATCTATCAAGGTTCGTATGCTCTTCTATTATTGTGACCATGTCGGAACACCTCAACTAAAGAACCGACCCACAGTAACGGGCCCTGTGGCACGCTTTGCACGCCAAATCGCAGGCCAGGGCTACATTTGTGTTGCTCCTTCGAGCTATCATGAATTCACTGGTCCGGAACCTCTGAAGTATGACGCGGAGGACACGGACAAGGGGAATGCATGGAAGGTTGGCAAGGTAAGCGAAATAAGACAGCTTCCATGGATAAATTCATTACTTGTGTTTTCTATTCTTGTTCTTTATTGGGCTATACTTGTGATTAATCTCAAGCGCTGAGTCGCTGACTGTCTATCAGAAACTTGCCGCTTATGACGAAGACGCTAGTCTTTGTGTGGATTATCTGCTCTCGCTGCCTACTTGCACTGGAAAAGTTGGTGCCACGGGCATGTGTCTGGGTGGCCATTTGGCCTATCGTTGCGCGCTAGATAGCCGGGTCAAGGCGAGCGTGTGTTACTTTGCCACGGATATCCACAGCAAAACCCTTGCCCGAGGCAAGAATGATGATAGTTTGGAGAGAGCTGGGGATATCAAGGGTGAGATGCTAATGGTATGTATATATTTCAGTTGTGTTTCGTTTGTGTCGATCGCTAAAATCTCTAGATCTTCGGCAAAAACGATAACCACGTCCCGCCCGAGGGACGCGACCTCATTCGCAAGACCCTCCATGATAAGGGCGTCTTGTTCGGTTTCTATGAAGTCGCTTGGGCACAACGTGAGTTGAACACATCGCTCACCCTCGAACATAAATATGCTGACAAGAATACTTATCCAGATGCCTTTATCCGTGATGAGCTCAGCAAGGGTCGGTATGATCCAGCTATTACCAAGGTCTGCTTTGAGATGCTGCTTGAGCTGTTCGGGCGCACCTTGAAGCTGGATCTGGGCGATCATGATGGGCAAAAATTGGTGATCGAGGATGTATGTTAAAGGAGCATTCGAGTACCTGTCAGACTTTTCAAACGAAGGGGCTGATTCGCTCAAATCGGACGTTATCAATTAATTTCCAACGGGACTAGATCGAGGTCTTATAGTAAGTACATATGAATACTCCGTAGAGGTACAGAGTAACGATACGGCACTGCAGGCACCAAACAGGATGCATATATATCCTGAAAGTTGGATCGTATGTTGTATGTGTGTACGTCCACTAAATTGTGGGTTGAGTCCACCTGGTCGACCTGGCGACCATATTATTGTCCTCCGGCAAGGGTGGTCACCACTTATCCCTAAAAAAAGAAGAGAACAAAAAAAAGAAAACAATATCAGCACTGGGTCTAGGGAGATCTGTACGTATCCAGAAGAGTAGAGGAACAAGGACTGTTTCTACCCATCGCAATTTTATACCGTTCAATACCTCCGGGCGAGAGTACTATTATTAGCGACTGGACCCAAGGAAGCACCATTTCCCACGCTTCAATTTCCAAAGTTCAATTGTTTTGATCCGATTGGAATCGCATTCGAGTCGGATTCGAGTCGATTTCGATCGAAATTCGTCCCGAAACACTTGGAAGTTCAGACGAGGTTTTTTTTCACTCTAAGCCACTAGCGCCAGCCCTGTGAGTCCCCCGAGTAACCTGTGGAAATCAGCTTGAATCATCTCTTATTTCCCATCAGCTCGCTATTCACGCTGCACGGCTACACAGCTATACAGCTACACACGGTTTCATTTCTCTACTTCTTCACCTTCAAAACAACCTGGTCCCACTAGAGATCCACCGATCTGGACTGGTCCTCCACGCGGGTCAAGACGCCACCCCAGTCTGAACACTCTTTGTCAACATTGCCTCACGTCTATTCCGCCTCTCATTTGAAATCCCCAATTCAAAATGGGGTCCACTCAATTCGGGAAATTTCACGTAAGTGCGGATCGATTCTGGAGACCGACCTCCTAATGGGCAGATACTGACCGCACACCTGTATGGGTACCACAGGACTTCTGTCGCGACTCGACCCTACCAGTTTGCAATGTGAGTGAGATCAGTCTGAAAATTCCCTATAATGGCTCCCTGGAATGTCAACTGACTGTATCATTCGTCGTGTACAGCTTTTCACCAATCAAACCGCAACTGATGCCTTCGGCGCGTGCGATCTGACCGGCATTCCTCTCAGTGGGGATAGACACCTTCGGAACTTAGGTACGATCTGCAAGACCGAGGTCGATGTGATTGGGGACAAATGATATGAGCACGATTGCTGATTTTTGATAGGTTCGATTCTGCTAGCCTTCATCGCCATTGTCTTGAGCTTGGGTATGATATGGAGATCGGACAAGAAGCACGCTGCTGTCGGCCGGAGGTATGGAGTATCTTTGTTCGCTATTGAGATGTCGACTGACATGGCGGTATCTGCAGGGAAATGCAATTATTTTTGCTCGGTTTCATCATTATTGAGATCTGCGAAATATTCACAGTGGGCGGCTTCCCGCTGCACGACGCAGTCCGAAAGGTAGGATTTCTACACGATAGACTCGAGGCCTCAGCTGACAGAAACATCTAGGGATTTTCTGCAGTACACATCGCCGCGATTACGGCGAATTGCTGGGTCCTTCTCATGAACGCACTGGTTGGCTTCCAATTACTTGACGACGGCACCCCAGCTTCCATCGGTCTCATCTGCGCATCTGCTGTGGTCCTCTTCATCGGGACAGGCTATATTGCATTGGACACTGCATTCGATTGGACTGGCCGCTTCCAGTCAAGCCATGATACACCAAATCGCAACATCGCCCTCTATGTTCTGTACCAACTCTTCCCACTCGTCTGCATTGTCTTGTTCTACGTCCTAGAGGCCGTACTAGTGCTTCGGGTTCTGGGCGAGTTCCGCCCAATGCGTGGGTTTACCACACTGGACTCAAAATAAACATGTGCTAACGATGCAACAGTGTATCTCAGCGGTGCTGGCTTGTTGTTCGCAATTGGTCAAATCTTTAATTATGTTATCAGCACCCACCTGTGCCAGGCCTCGCATGGCAAGATCAATGGAGCTTTATTCGAAACTCTCTTCACCCTCCTTTCTGTCTCCGGGGTCTGGGCCTTCTGGAGCAGTATCACCGAAGACGACTGGCCTCTGCCCGTGGGTGGCGGTGCTTATAACTGATTTGATAAGTATTCCATTTGCGTTATCTATTGACTTTGCTTTTTCAGTCTCTTGCGTGCGAATATTAACGCCTCTAATTATTATTTTTTGCCATACATACTTTCTTTACGCTTGTTTACGAGTCTGGATCTTGAACTGGGATTGTCGACGTTGTGATACCCCATTTCCTTGAGTCATGTTTCACGATTCATCTGCCATCTCTTACCTTTACGGTGGTTATCATGCCTTGTTTTGTGACTCGTTCCAGCCCATCTGTGTTTTTATGAATTTACCTGCGGCAGTTTCGATCTGCCAGTCTGACTACTGGTCGACCACTTCCCTGTCGGCGTTTACCCGTTATTTTGTTTTATGAGAGATACCTCCTCGCCATGTACTTAGTTGTAACCCATGTCAAATAATCGACTTTAGCTTCTCCTTTCCTGAGTTCATTAACGCTAACTAAAACAGCCGATTCTCACCCCTCATTTATAGGAGGGCTTTTGTGCAAACGCCCCTCCAGTCTCTTATATTGGTCTCTGATGCTACCTACCCCCAGTACGGACATTGGGGAAAGACAAACTTTCTAATGCGACTCGGTGTTACCACTAGGGTATGCTAGTTTGCACATCGCTCTATACGCCATCTCCCAATTGGCCACCAATGTGGCATCCATGCCGAGGGCTGAGTGTCCATCCCTTGTGCTGCGACTCTTAGTACTTCGGTGTATATAATAAGCAGCTATCTAATCCAACAACAGCGTAACTCCCTTTATAGCCCAATAGATACCGAATTTGGACCTACCCCTCTCGTTTCTTTGTTCTTAAGTCTCTCCAGAAGTTGTCGGATATGCGCTTCAATATCGCCACTCTCGTCCTCGCCTCGGGGTTCGCCTCAGCTACAGGCACAGCTCATGTGGCCAATAATACCTACATCCAGACCTGTACATATCTCTTTTCATAAATCAATTCTTCGAATGCAAGTTCGATAAGCTAGTATACTAATACAAGGTATACGCATAGTGCAACAACAGAATCTAGATATCGTCCGGCAGCTCCCACAGATGTGTAGTCTCGCTGCTTGTCTCAACTTGACAGCCCAGATTATGTGTATTGCTAATGCCATTATCAATGGTGATCCGGCTGCTCTGCAGAAGTGCCTAACGACTTCCATGAGTCAGGTATATTTCTGCCTTCATCGAGTGAACAAAGACTAAGATTCGAGTCTAGATCTGCTCATGTGTTGCTTGTGTTCCAGCGGTTGAGAATGTGCTTGCTGCGCTCGGTATCTGTCCAGTTTCGAATGATGATGACGACGATGAGCCTTCTTCTGGGTAATGGCCATGCAGTCCTCGGCCACGTGCTAGTTAAAGGTGTTGTCATTGCATGTCATACATAGTTTATGCTTCTTTCCTAGTATAATAATGCTAGTTAACTGTCTTTCTCCTCTTTTCATCTCTATCGGCGTTCATGATTAACTTAGTATCAGGGACATATAGGTAAGGGCTCCAAGGTTAGACAACAAGTATCGCATTATGTCAGATATAGCCACGGCTTTCAAGGTTGGGTTAAGTTACGACAGTAGAGGAATCTATATCTCTAGCAAAAGGTCATCCAGTGATTGTCAGATTAGTATAGAATTAGTTATGTACAGTGGGTATTTAGAGGTGTTCAAGAAAGGAGGATATCGAGTCCTGCACCTGAACTGAAAACACGAGACTCGTAATTAATGTACGTGAAATTCAAAGTCCATTTGAATGTATCAACAGGGAAAGCTTAACCAAAACCTTTACACACCTCATAGTCGAACTTTGACATCGACACATGGGAGAGTCCACTCCCGTCTCCCCAAGAGGCTGCGCACCCACTCCAAGCCGACTCCTGTCCACTCGGTGGGCCTTGGCTCCATTCCATTAGGAGAAATTCGTTGCTGGACACCCTCCAACACAGCACCGGCTAAAACTTTGGCGGTGGAGTTCATAGTATCGAAAACAAATTCCGTTAGACCCTCGCCAGACACTGTTGCTTCGTATGTGGCGTTGCCCGAGATGGCATAGTTGCTAGGCTCCGAGGTATAGCGTGGTGCAAACCAATTACTTCGTAGGTCAAAGATGCACCGGTCTGACCAATGACATGATGAGACGAAGAGAATCAGGAGCAATGCGGAGCAGTAGATACATGGCCGGTGGATGATGTATGTCAAGGCAACAAACGAGATGATAAAGAGCGGGGAGGCGTTGGTAGGAATAAAAAGAAGAGGTAGCCAGCTATAATATGAATCATATGGGTTAGTCTAAATCCCCTACTTTGCTGCTGATTGCTAGTTGATTGCTTCTCTTACCTTCGTAGACAGAACATGATGGGGTTTGCGGGCGCTGGCCTTCTGACGGAAAGGTGCAGATTGATAGACAAAAGTTTTATTTGACGTGATTTGGATATCCTGGTAATCCAGTGAGCTCACCACCTTCGAACTCAGTAAGTGAAAGTGGGTTAAAAGAAGTAAAAGTAATCCGATTCACTAATGACGCGAGTCGGGCAAAGAAATAACTAGCCACAGTCGCCACAACTCGGCAGGCTCCAGCCACACCCACGGCTTGAACAATATTACCGAGAGTTCTTCTCTCCTTCATCCTCCCTCTCTACTTCACCACGTTCTTCAATTTCATCTCTCTTTTCTCGTACTTATCTTTGATTTGCTCTTTTGCCGCCTTTTCTAGCCTTTGTGATTCCCAATTTCATACTCTGTCCCTCTCGAAAGAGAGCTTCTGAGAGCTCTGCAAAGCTTGGATCCTCTCGGCGGAGGTCGCCTGTAACCACGGCGTAACGGCAGAAATGTCCACCCCCACCGATCTCCAGGCTCTCTTAGCCAGTATCCGGCCTCGTCCTTCTCCTTCAAACACTCCTGGCCAGGATAACCACCAGGCCCAGCGCCAATCGTATTACCAGCCTGCTCTGTTCCCGCCGCACCCTCAACAGCAGCAACCTTACGATGGTCAGAGCTACCCTCATCCCCAGTCGCATGGTTACCAACATCCATCAGTATCCTCAACTTCCCAAAGTCCTGCCCCAATGAATGCTCCCCCTCATCAGAGCTCTGATATCTTGAGCCCTAACATGCCTTCTCCTCGGGGCGAATGGCCCCAGCAGCCGCAACCGCAGCATACCAACTCAGGCTCTGTGGACCTTTTGAATCTTCTGAGATTCAGCCAGCGTCCCGGTGCTTCACCTCAGCCGCAGGCCCCAGCTGCAGCTCCCGATCACTTGCAGCCCCCGCCGGTCCAGGGAGCTCCTTCGTCGCACGGACGAAATATTTCCGCGTCTGACTTAGTTGCTACTTTGTTCGGTCAACACGCCCCTGCCGCCCCTGCGGCTGCGCCTGCTGGTCCTCCCCCGGCCTTCCAATCTGGTCAGCCTGAGGGCCCTAACGAGAATACACAGGATATGTTACTTCGCCTGCTCAACCGTTCTCGGCCAGGTCCTGCTGTCGCCGAATCACCGGCGCTGGCTTCAACTCAGCAGGTACCATATATGCAGGCTATCGTTGATGAACATCAGAACCAGACAGCCAAGAATGTCTTCATGGAAGTTGTGGATGAGAGTCCAAGGGCGCCTGCGAACCCGGAAACGGTCGTATCGCCCAACTCGAAGGACTCAATGTTCACCTATGTCAACCCGTTTGACCAATTAGCCGCTATCTCTCCTGTTAATAAGTCTCCTCAGTCCGCCTCTGGTATCCAGAGCCCAGCTGTTGAAGTGATGCAGAAGCAAAAGATCAATGTTTCTACTAAGCTGGAGCCTTCCCAGACACCCGAGCTTGCCGCCCCCCGGGAGGGGACCCAGTCGCCAATCTTGAATGAAGATCAGAGAGAGGCTGTGCATGAGGTAGTTGGTCGTTTCGTAAATGAGATCAGCCGCTCTCTCAGCGGCGATGAGCCTCGGGCTGCAACGGAAGTCAAGACTGCTGTGCCTACTGCCCAGGAGAAATCCTCTGAAGCATTCCTTTCATCAATCGCTAGTCAATTGCGCGAGACTGCTGCTGAAGCTAAAGAAGCGGCAAGCTTGACCCAGGTTGACGAGCTCGTGAAGGAGACAGAATCTCCCACGGTTCCAGTTGCCCTGAAGGTGACCGAGAGCACTGAGGCTCTAGCTGACAGCTGGGAGAGTGCGGAAGACAGCGCCGAAAAGGAAGAGGAACGAGTTGTCTCTGTTTACAACTTCCCAATGAGGCCATTCATCTCAATTGCTGTGAAAGCTACGTCTGGCAAACTTACGACCTTCCGTGACGACGATGTCATGGATATTGCTCGTCTAAAGAAGGAGTTCGATCAACTTGACAGGTCGCTGACAGCGGCTACGTCCGAATATATTGTGTACGCACTCGCCAAAACTGGTGGCATCAGAATTATTCGACAGGACGATGGTAGTGACCGACAGGTGTTCCGTTCCACTCGTGATCGAGTCTTCAACGTTGCCCTGTGTACAGCTCCTACCGCGGCTGGTGACTCCGAAGTCCAGGCAATTCTCGGCATTGGAGTCAGCGGCTCTGTATATTGGGCTTTGATCTCGCGTTCTGGGAAGGATTTCTTTGACATGGATGCCTTGGAAAGCGAAAGCTTGATCTTCCCACCTTTCCCGGCCTCGGACGAGAACACCTCTGGTGGCCAGCTGAAAACGCGAGCCAAGCGGAGTACTCGTCACACCAACTTGTTTGCCATTGGTCGGGGCAAGAACATCTACGTTGTTTCCCCAAAGGCAGCAATGAGCCCTACCTACGGCGTCTCTGGTACCCAGCGGACAGTTAACACCGAGAAATTCTTCAAGGAGCGTGCATTGAAGATTTCCACTGGTAAAGCCGGCAAAGACTTCGCCTTCAGCGATGATGATTCCGTCATCGCCTCATTGGACAAGACCGGCCGACTGCGCTTCTGGGATATAAATGATATGCTTAATGACGCAAGCTTTGTGGAAGGCCCTGCTCCTGCCGAGATCCGGGTGCCGTTGACTACCTTCGTCACTGGCTCCCCAACCGAAAAGTCCTGGCCCACTTCGGTCCTCTTCCTCGATAAGCTTCGCGCTTATTCGCGGTCTATGGCGCTCCGTTATGTTTTGGTTGGGCTCAAGCAAAACCACACCTTGCAGCTCTGGGATATTGGGCTGGGCAAGGCCGTGCAGGAGTTGAAGTTCCCGCACGAGAACGAGTCCGATGCTATTTGCAGCGTGGCTTATCACCCATCATCGGGTGTCATTGTCGTTGGCCATCCCACTCGTAACTCTATCTACTTTGCTCATCTTTCGGCCCCTCGGTACAATTTGCCTCAGATGTCACAGGCAGCCTACATCCGAGACCTGAATGATAAGGATAACACCCTACCCAAGCCCGAGTCCACTGCTTGCTTGAGTGGAATTCGGGAGATCTCTCTCGGTTCCAAGGGTCAGCTGAGAAGTTTGGAGCTTCTCCCTATTACCAAGTCCGCTACTGACAAGCGCGGCACCGAGGAAACTCCCCTATTTGAGCTCTACATTATGCACTCTCGCGGTGTGACGTGCTTGAACATCAAGAAGGAGGATTTGGGCTGGACTGCGGATAACAAGGTTATTCGCCCTATTGATGCGTTGGAGCAAGGCGTGATTGAAATCAGTGATCTTCAAACTTTCCCCACATACGCCACCGATGATCCATCTCTCAACGGTGACACCGCTTCTATCCAGTCTCGCGTTGGTCCGAAGGAGTCGGCGAAAAAGCCAGAGATTGGAGAATTGGCTTCTGGAGTTGCTCCTTCGCGTAACGCTTCGCCTATCAAGTTGGCTAAGAAGAAGGAGGAGATCAGTGAGGCACCTGCCGTGGTCGAGAAGTCTGAAAAGAAGAAGAAGAAGAAGGCATCAGCTGCCACCGAGGCTGCTAAGGCAAAGGAGCCATCTCTCACTGCTGGTGTCGAACCTCTGCCGGTCCCCTCCGCCGCTGCCAAGGAACTCCAGACTCTTGCCTCGTCTACTACGGCGATGGGTGCCACCCAGGCGGCCGAACATGCAGTGCCCGGTTTCGGTCTGTCAAGTGAAGCTTTCAGCAAATACATTCAGACACTGCAGGGCAGTGTTTCAAGCGAGTTTAACAAGAGTCTTGGCCATGAGTTTGAGAACCTCCATCGTCGCTTCGATGATGAACGTCGCAGCTGGGATGCTGCCTCGTCGGCCAAGCAAGACCAAGTGTTGCGCCTGGTCTCTAGCACGCTCTCTGACAACGTCGAGAAGAACTTAGCACGTATTGTCTCAGCCAGTATCCAGACCGATGTTATTCCTGTCATCGCCGATGCCACCTCTGCAGCAGTCAATAAGCAACT